TCACAGACTGGATTATATTAAGCTGAACTTCCAATTTTCACCACTGTACGGCGCCAAGTAATCTTTACTTTGATCACAGCTTGCTTGGTCTTGCAATGAATCCTGGGTAAACCAAGGATACCGAGGATACATCAGACCCGTCCTTCAAATCGGGCAAAAAGAAGGACGCATTTTAAGGCCGCATAACGAGGACTCTTGGAATCCGACCAGACCTCGGCGCCCCGCTATGACGTAATCGGCCTTCGAATCCGGTCTTCTAAGGATGCGTCCTAGGTTTTCGAACAGAGCCAGGCACAGGCCCAACGGCGACCCTGAGAAGGACTAAGCGGGAGACAATGGATGCTTGGATGGATTGATGTTTAAATGCTGAAAACAGATGTCCAGTGATCTAAATGGTCCTGTACTGCTTATGCATCTCTGCTGTTAATTTTAAACTATTTGATCTTGTTAGAATGTTCTAACTTGGAGCAGAAATAGAGGAATACAAAGGGAGCAAAGGGGGGAAATTAACCTTTTTTTTTCCCATATAACTTTTGTAGACAATTTTTGATTTTTGATGGGTATAAGCAAGGGGCAGGAGGAGCACTGCCAGAGCCCTACAAAATGACATGCAGCAGGCAACTGGTGTGAATGTCTCTGACCAAACAATCAGAAACAGAAACCGTGGAGCTCGATTGTCATTTGCCACAGAACACCGGTATTGACAAGTCCGCCACTGGCGCCCTGTGCTTTTCACAGATGAGAGCAGGTTCACCCTGAGCACATGTGACAGACGTGAAAGGGTCTGGAGAAGCTGTGGAGAAAGTTATGCTGCCTGTAACATCGTTCAGCATGACCGGTTTGGTGGTGGGTCAGTGATGGCCTTGGGAGGTATATCCATGGAGGGACGCACAAGCCTATACAAGCTAGACAACGGCACCCTGACTCCCATTATGGCCTCATGTGGCGAGGGTATGCTGGCAGTTCCTGGAGGATGAAGGAATTGATACCACTGATTGGCCCCCCACGCTCGTCTGACCTAAATCCAATAGAACACCTCTGGGACATTATGTTTCCATCCATCCGACGCCACCAGGTTGCACCTCAGTCTGTCCAGAAGCTCAGTGATGCTCTGGTCCAGATCTGGGAGGAGATACCCCAGGACGCCATCCATCGTCTCATTAGGAGCATGCCCCGACGAAGAATAGAGTAAAAGATCTAAAATATCCTTAAGCACATTTAACATTCCTATTTTGTTTTTTCTACGAAGGTTCCTCCTATCCTTCTTAGATCATTTACATTCAATGTATAAGCTAAGGTCACCTCACAGAAATTAACCAAAATCATATGTGATTGTTTCACATATACCACATGTAAGTGAATTCAGGCTCTGAAAACTGTCCAGTAGAGCAGAATGGACAACATCTTCTGTCAAAGATAGAGTTCTTACTGTTGACCTCATGAGAAATAAAGGAATAGTAGCTAGGTGCTACAATTTCATGTTTTCGAAGTCAGTCCGTAATTGCCATTGTGTGCACTGGTTGTTGTTTTAGAGTATGCTAAATCTCCAGTGAAAAAAATCTTGAGAAAGTAAAAAGCATTTCCATAAAACAAAATGTTTTTTTATGTAAATAAATATGCTGACTTTTGATAATGACTAATAGGTAATCCTTATTTGTGTATAACATATCAGCATCTGTCTGACGGATGTAAAACATTTGCACAGGTTGATAAGTAACTGACGTTAGACGTATGTGCAAGATAACAAAGTCAAATTAGAGAGGTCGTTAATGGATATTGCTAGGGAAATTTCATATTGTCATATACCTGCAAGTTTGTGTTGGTTCCTCATTTGTTAGATAAGTTCCTGTTTTTATAGCACACTGAGAGTCCAACATTTTAAACAAGGGTGATATGGTCTCAAGTGATGACAAAATTTACCAGGCTCACAATTTTCATAAATAATAATTTAAAAAAAGACTTCTGGGACTTTAAATACAAGGTGAGATATTTTAATTTCTACATTGTCTTCCTCAGCTTGTGAGTTTGGACTACTTTTTAACATTTAAGATTATTTTTAAACTGTACCAAACATACATGTAGCCTCTGCATCTGAAATGGAAGGTTGGAAAATGAGATTGAATAACCAAATCAGCAAACCATATACTTCTATTTACTGAATGATACAGCCATGAATTCAAGAAGATAGTCATATTTTTTCCTCACTGAACTCTTTTGAGGTCATTGTAATAGTAAGAAATATTATAAATGTTTTTTTTATATATATATTAAACCTTAATTTAGATAGTTAGGTAATATTATTGAAACTGTTTCTTCTGCGATTTTACAGTTTTATGAGAAAGTTAATCATTCCTAGTGTTTCAAGCATAAGATGCATATAAATGTCAGAGGGGCATTTCCATTTTTCCATCGAATGGAATAGTGTGGGATCAGCAGTTTAATTCATCTGCGACAGTTTTAAGTTGAACAAAGTTTAGATTATCCCACATATTCATAATTTGATACATAAAGATACATTGACGTTTTTTTCGCATCCTACTTAAATGCTGATAGTCTGGACATATTATGAAACTGCATGGAGATGGCCCCAGAGTTACAGAGGGAAACCAGTAGGAACTTTTAATACTTGAGCTCCAAACCAAATGCCTAAAATCTGAGATGTGGAAAAATGATTTGCATGTTTAATTAGGAGTACAGACTTACTCTCTGAGGCCTATCAGTAAAGTTAAAAGCTTTCTGAGTTTGTTTTTACCCATGTCTTACTAACTTATTGGATTTACATATGACATCTGATTTCAATCTATATTACGCAGTCAAAACTTTCAAAATGGAACAAACCTAGACCAAGACAGAGTTTTTATTTCCCTCTACCAACACAATGAGCGAGAGAAAAATTAACCTATTTTTTTCCATA